GCTATATGTATCACTATGTATTGTAAAGCTTAGCAGATCCTCATGTCAATGGCCAGGAAAACTATCCCTAGCATAGGAGATAGTTATAGCAGGTGCGAAACATCTTATAGAGGACTTTGTTTTTCATTTCATAAAACTTTATTTGATTAAAAATTTGCCTTTTCTGTGTACACTGGAATGCTTTATTCCCTATGCATTTTACAGAGTTACAATCTCTCATTTTAAATATTACCCCAAAAGTAATTTCAGAAAAAAAAAGGTTTTTTGAAACTAAACTTGACTTTTAAAAAACCATATGGACAAACAACTCTCAAACAAAATTGGATTAATAATATTTCTTGCCTGCTTAACTACATGACAGATTTCTTGTCCCAGTCCCCTTTCTCAAAAAAAACATCATGTGGAAACTAAGCTAGAGAAAAGATTCTTCCCAAGGCAGTTAAGGGAAAGGGAAGGGCCAGAAATTTCTTCGGCAAACAAGTATATGCATAGCCATTTGTGTGTAACTGTTTTGCTTCAAGTACAGTACACTCTTTGGAGGGAAGGCGAGATGTTGTTCAGAGTGGGAGTGGTACTCTCCAACCAGCTGAAGTGCAGGAAGTTATCTACAGCCTCTTCCCCATGCTTGTGGTTGCATCCTGGAATCAACTCTGCCAACCCTATGAGTGCAATACCAGGTTAAAAGCCAATGCTAGTTTGGCTGAGATGGTCTCTTCCACTGCAAAACAATGGATAAGATGGGACTGAGAAACAACCACTACATGATGACATTCAATAAAAAAGGTTTAGGGGAGATAAAAAAAGGATTTCAGAGACAGGGACAGATAGGCTGGTGAAAAACAAATCACATTTTTGCTAAGAAAATTAGATAAAGGAGAGTGACAGAATGGTGATAGCTTGTTCTTCAGAGGAGCTCTGCATGATCTCTTTTTGCTGAAATAGAGGCCAAAGGTTAATTAATTATATTAATGCTCTTTGTTTTCTCAGCTTAAACAAACTAAGGTGCATGGGTACCTTCAAAACAATACATGATAGGAGGAAATGGATCCACAAATGACAAAATAGCTATGTTTACTCTGATAACTAGCTCATTCACTAGTTTAACATTGGTCTGTTTGTTATGTACAACCCAATAAACTGGCCAATGAAAGGATCGCTTTAGCATTACAGAGACATAATCTAGGTATAACTTTGAGGGTTTCCGTAAATTAATCAGATTACTATCCTTAAGCATCCATGCATTGATATTATCAGGCATAAAAGAACTTGGTTCAAGCCAGGGGACTTGAACCACCCATGACTAGCCACACTGGCACTATACCTCTTTAGCATACTCATCCTTGTGGCCATCAGATGCTTCATTGCTATGACATTGCTAAATATGTAAAGAACTATGGAATAGTTTGTTGGCTGGTAAAAATGCCTGTGGTCTAGTTGCTATTTTACTAGTTATGCAATGTGACATATCTACTGTGGGTTTCTAAGAGACTTGAATCCACAAATATATTCCTCCTGACTCTGCTTCTACATTGCACAGAAGGACACAGGTAAGACAGATTGTCGTATCTCAGAAACAAAGAGGTGGATAACTCTGAATACATTTTCTTCACACCATAGCTTAGGGCAAAGGATTGCAGAATAAAATTTATGATTTCAGAAAAACAGTATAAAGAAAATAAATATTTGAATGAAAGAGAAATTTTTGCTCTAAGATACTATTTTTCCCTCTTAGAGATCAATTAATTTAAAACTGATTGGCTTTGTTTTGGTACCCCATAACTCTAAGAATGACTTTTTTTAAATTTTGTTTTATTTATTTTTTTATACAGCAGGTTCTTATTAGTCATCAATTTTATACACATCAGTGTATGCTTGTCAATCCCAATCGCCCAATTCAGCACCACCATCCCCACCCCCCCATGGCTTTCCCCCCTTGGTGTCCATACATTTGTTCTCTACATCTGTGTCTCAACCTCTGCCCTGAAAACTGGTTCATTTGTACCATTTTTCTAGGTTCCACATACATGCGTTAATATATGATATTTGTTTTTCTCTTTCTGACTTACTTCACTCTGTATGACAGTCTCTAGATCCATTCATTTCTCAAAAAATGACTCAATTTCATTCATTTTTATGGCTGAGTAATATTCCATTGTATATATGTACCACATCTTCTTTATCCATTCATCTGTCGATGGGCATTTAGGTTGCTTCCATGACCTGGTTATTGTAAACAGTGCTGCAATGAACATTGGGGTGCATGTGTCTTTTAGAATTATGGTTTTCTCTGGATATATGCCCAGTAGTGGGATTACTGGATTATATGGTAATTCTATTTTTAGTTTTTTAAGGAACCTCCATACTGTTCTCCATAGTGGCTGTATCAATTTACATTCCCACCAACAGTGCAAGAGGGTTCCCTTTTCTCCACACCCTCTCCAGCATTTGTTGTTTGCAGATTTTCTGATGATGCCCATTCCAACTGGTGTGAGGTGATACCTCATTGTAGGTTTGATTTGCATGTCTCTGATAATTAGTGATGTTGAGCAGCTTTTCATGTGTTTCTTGGCCATCTGTATGTCTTCTTTGGAGAAATGTCTATTTAGGTCTTCTGCCCATTTTTGGATTGGGTTGTTTGTTTCTTTAATATTGAGCTCCATGAGCTGTTTATATATTTTGGAGATTAATCCTTTGTCTGTTGATTCATTTGCAAATATTTTCTCCCATTCTGAGGGTTGTCTTTTCGTCTTGTTTATGGTTTCCTTTGCTGTGCAAAAGCTTTGAAGTTTCATTAGGTCCCATTTGTTTATTTTTGTTTTTATTTCCATTACTCTAGGAGGTGGATGAAAAAAGATCTTGCTGTGATTTATGTCAAAGAGTGTTCTTCCTATGTTTTCCTCTAAGAGTTTTATAGTGTCCGGTCTTACATTTAGGTCTTGAGTCCATTATGAGTTTATTTTTGTGTATGGTGTTAGGGAGTGTTCTAATTTCTAAGAATGACTATTAAAGAAATACCTTCAGTGCATGAAAGGCTCCATTCAGTGGATAATTTTGTATAATGTTTCATTCCTCCTTCTTTCCCTGTTATTCTTCAAATTTCTATTAAAAGGTAAGTAATATCATGAAATTTGATGATACGCACCGTTAATGCTCTTTGTGTAGGGTGAATGAAGGCCTTTTATATAGGAAGGAAATCGTTATGGTTATATTTTGACCGACATCCACTCATCCTCTATTTACGTATCCTTAGTCTCTGGTTTTCTATAATTTCTAGCTTATATTCATAGGGTTTTAAAAAAATTCATGAAAGCCGTCTCATTTTTTTTTTCATTTACATGTTCAGGTATACATAAACTTAAGTAACTAGACCATATGAAGGATTTATTTGAGTTTGGAGTCTGGATTTTGGTAAAGAGAAAGAGTCATGGGGTTCTGTTAAAATGAGTCTGACAAGTTTTGGCCCAAAGTCACTCTGAGGGAGAATATGTCTTCCTTTGAAAGCAAGAGTATAATCAATATTTTCATAAAATATTAATATGAAGTAGAATATAGTATGTCAAGCCAGTATTAACATTTCATTAATGAGGATTTCATTTTTTAAAGGCTATATAACAAGAACAGATTAATCTCATAACCTGAAAGTTTTTACTTCATTATTGTTTCTTTATTTCTGGCTAAATTGTACTTTCAAGTGAGTAGACAGAAACATGATACTATATATTAAGTAACTTCAAGTAAATATCCATGCTATTCTTCAGTGTTAAGTGATCTCTTGGCTAATAAAAAGGGTAGATGTGATGCTCTCTCTAGTCCTAAGTACAGTGTGCCCCAACGTAGAGGTTTCTTGAGTTACTGTTAGAGAATGATTCCAATTCTTGGCAGCCTAATCCCACACTTCAGTATGGATCCCAACTTCTACATCTGTTCAGATGAGCCATTGGCTAAATGGCTGTGTAGTAGTATTCAACAATATTTATTTGTCTTCTTTATGGTGATTTTTAGGACTGGTCATACATACCCCCTTCCTCCTTCATCCCCTCTCTCTTTTCCATGCATATTTTTGAGAGCCCATATGTCTTAGGAATAAAGTTACTGTCTGTTAAGAATTCACAGTCTACTGGGGTTGAGATAAAAATAAAAAATTCTAGTACAATATGGTAAGTGTTATGATACCATGAGGACACAGAAGAGAAACACCTTATCTAGTTTATGGGGATTAGGGGAGGCAATTTAAAGATTATACCTGACACAAATACACAGATATTTGCGTATACATGTGTTGGCACACATTTTTAAAAACTAGGTTATTATCATTTCAGAAATAAGGTAGTAATGCCTCAGTGTTGGCTGATATGCCTGTCTCCACCATAGTAAAAGAAACACGCTGTCTTAACTGGGGGTTAATATTTGCAAACTACTTGACTTTTCTAGTAGAACGGTGGCACATAATTTTGAGATATTAATGCTTTTCTAATCTCCGCTGACTTAATCAACAGCTGACTTATAGTAAATACCAAAGTAAAACTTTTATAATATGCATGGTAGGGTGGAAAGCATGTCAGATTAGTTTTAAAAAAAATAGGTGTTAGTCCTATATAGAGGCATTAACTATGTGATTTTGACCAATTTAACTTAATTAAACCTCAGTTTCTTCATTGGAAACATGAAGAAGCTTAGCAAGATGATTTAAAAAAAGTTTTCTTCTAGAGTTAAACATCTGACTTTTATTGAAAAAATCTGGTTTATATTAACATTTTGAAATCATTATAATCAGAAGACAATAGATTTTAAGTTCCCACTCCTAGGAAGTGCTTGTATTATTGATGTTCTCTCCCTCCCTATAAAATTTGACTTCATCTTACTAGTCACACAGTTCCCATCATACTAGCCAAGACTTGTCAGACTGGTTCTAGTTAGATCATCAGTGACTTCTTTCTTCACCTCAGTCTAGCCTACAAAGTTGCTGATAGAGCCTGGATACACACACTTGATGGCAGACCTCGGTCTCCACAGGACCAATCCTTGCTGGTCAGCAATGTATCGGTGAGTTTTCTTCTCTTTTCCTTTGTCTTAAGTTAACTTGCTTAAAGTGGCATGAACCACACCAAGGAATGTGTAGATCTCCAATTTATTATTTGCTTAATGTGGAAAAATACTTTTGATATTTAACATAAAATTATGTCAAGAAATAGGTTTCTCTTCTTTCCATACTAGTGTTCCCTGTCCTCTTGTGACCCATCCCAAATGTTTATGTACTTTCAGAAGAGCTCAACAAAAGATAAAGGCACATGGTGTTTAACAACTGTCTTTTAGTTTGTTTTGTTTTGAGAAAAATAGAATGTGTTTTTAGCTTGGGTTTTATTTGTCCCAAGTTTATTATATTATATTATATTATATATTATATTTAATACTCAAAATTATACATGAGAAAAAAATCTAAAACCATGAAGATCAAACTTACACTTCTTTCTGTAAGTAAATAGTATAAACTAAAAAAAAAATATGTTTTAAAAGAACAAGAAACAGTTTAAGAAGACAATGTGATTAAATTATTATAGTTGGATTTTTAAAATAAATCCAGTGATGTACCTGGTCACAATCAACTTCTCTAATAGAGAAGTCATAATTATTCTGAGGTTGTTTTCTTTAAAAGTTAGAAACTAAACAGTAACAAGATTTCAGTGTACCAGTTTGGGCTCTGAAAATAATTTTATCTTCATGTTAAAAATTCATTTTCTCTGATTGAGATATTGGCATGCTCTTTTTTGTTAATTTCTGTTTTGAGAAGAAAACAGTTTGAAAAGTATAAAGCTTCTAATGGAATCTTAATAGTGAAAAACACTCAGGCTCTGTAGTTGATAGGAAGAAAGTTCTACATAGTCCTCATGAGAAATTTAATACTCTCTATATTTGTTGATGAATCAACTAAGAGCTACAGACATCACAAATTAAATCAGACTTTTCAAGGCTTCCTGCCTTCTGCAAGTGCTTCTCTATAATCCATGATGGTTTTGTGTCCTAGCCTTTTTACCTGGATTATCTTTAAGAATATTACTATAGAAAACAGTGCTTTTATTTAAACATATAATTTCTATCAAACTCAAGATTCTAAACTGATTTCAGGCTTTGTCTATGCTAAATCTGAGTGAGTCTGGAGTTTGTGTAGGGGAATTATAATTTGGAGGTATTGGAACGAATTTTCCTGAGTATAGTCTCTAATTTGAAGCAAAGATGTTTTCAGTCTTGCTTCAGAGTAGACGGAAGATACCTCTCAAGGAAAAACAAACAAACAAAAAACTCCTTCCTGATCTAAAACTTGTATACAAAGTGGAGCATATCGATGTTTGAGTCAGCCTAGGAGATGTTCAGAGAATGGGCTAGAGTGAAAAGGGATTAAATTTATTAGCACATTTGCTGGAATAAGTGTACCAACAAGAATGCTTTGAAAAAAGAGGTATATTGAGATACTTGGCAATTTCTTTTTAAGGCCATTTGCTCATAACTGGGAAGGCATATCAGAAACAGGTGGAGAGTTTTATCAAATGGTATGTTCCTTCCTCTTTGACCAAATTTTTGATAGCCCCTTCCTCACTCCACCTGTTCTAAATGAAAACCACTATGTTAGAATTTAAAGGTTAGAAGAAAGTTAGACCAGGTAAACATTATTCTTCAGATGCTATCATTTTTTCCAAACTCTGATTTTATACTATCCTTTGAATATGAAGAAATCAACACATTAATTTTATAAAAACACATACAACAGAAGGTTATACAAACACATAAAAACACATTAATCAACACATTAATTTTATAAAAACACATACAACAGAAGGTTATACAACAGAAGGTTATACAAACACATAAAAACACATACAACAGAAGGTTAAAGAAGACTTTTTCAGGTATAAGTTTATAGGGAAGAGATTTGAGAAGAGAAGAATATATTTATTCTTCTTGAGAAGAGAAGAATATATTTATTAAATATATTTATTATTGATAGGAATGTCTGCCAACTGTATTCACCAGCAACCACTGACAACCAGCAGACCAAATTTGTAGACATTAATATCTACACATGTTTAGATAGATGAAGGTAAACTGAGTAATATTCAAATGAAACAAAATGGACAACTTTAATTTTTACTTCATAGGGTAAGCATTATCTCTCAACATGTGACCCATGGACCCCCTCCATTAGATTCACTGGGTACTTATTAAAAACAGAAAAGTCCAGTTCCCATCCAAGAAATTCCCGTGAATCTCTGGTTGAGGCATGGGAATTGTACTAAAAGTTACACAAGGTAATTCTTATTTACTGTACAGTTTGAGAAGAACTGATACAGTACAAAGCCATAAAAAAAATGAACTTGTAAGATAGAAAGAAATTAAAGTGGAAATGAAATAGGTCAGTTTTTGAAGTGGTAACTCTTTGTTTTATTTAAACTGGTATAATTATACCTCAATGGGAGGTGTTCTCTCGCAGTTTACCTTTTCCTCCAAGGGAGAAGAGTAGTCATTTATGCAACATAGTGATGATTAAGGAAAAGAGGATAATTTCAGAATGTCTGGAAAACTGAAGGGAGGATACAGACATAATTTGGGTAGTTTGTGTCAGACAGGGAGGGTGGTCTTATTTGGATTAAGAATCTATTTGTTTACAGGCAAAAATCTCAATGTAAAATTAATCTATTGTAGCAACCTCTTCCTTTTTGCCCTGAAATTAGTCAATAGATAATGATACTGAAGGGTCCCTCTACTGAGGTGCAGGTCCAGAGTTGCTTTATGATAGTGTTCCAAGCGTTTAATGCTGTGCCTCACTTCTCCTTCAGCTAAGATCAGTCCTGGTCCATGTAACAACTTTTAATGAGTTCTCATTGTGTACTAAGTTCTGTATGGAAGAAAACTTTGTTGAGCACCTATTATGTATTGCACATTTTGTAAAATGTTATCTGATTGAATTTTGGCAATACTTTGAGAAACCATTATTGTTATCTCTCCTTAAAAAGATGAAATAACTGCAGCTCAGATTGTCCAGGGTTAGTAAGTGTTGGATCTAGAACCTGACCTTGGCATTTCTGGCTTTAAAGTCTATGTTCTTTCTACTGTAACACACTGTCTTATCATGTGTGGGAAGCTAAAAGAAGAGTCTTTGGAAAGTTTGCCCTCTAACAGAGAAATGGAAAACGTGCACACATGCATATACACACACAGAGAAAATGTGTATGTATGTGTAGGCATACATGTTTATATAATGTATAGGCAAAGAAACAGGTCAATACAGGTTAATATGAAAGAATGCACATATGTGCTGACGGAGGAAGGGTGGTGGTATACTTTTACTTTCATTGACAGGTCTTTACAAATGTTTTGAAGAATGCACAGACTACCGTTATATAATTTTCTTAAAACGGTCTCTGTATTTAAACAAGATAAGAACATGACCTAACTTTTCCGCACTATCTCAAAGGTGATCAGTGACTGAGAGTACAGCACTTCAATTATATCATCACTGTTTTCTAAAAAAGATTGCAACATTTGCTATTGTGTGAAAATCAAGTTCATCTTAGTGCAGCATTTTATGGAAGGAATTCATCAGTCTGTAATAATTATAACTGTCTAGTGAACCTTTGTTATTTTTTCATTATTGTCTGCTTTCCTCCAAAAATATAATTGCTTCAATATAATAAGGGAATAAATAGAAACATTCAAGAAAAAAAGCAACATCATGTGCTTCCTTGTCAGCACTGAGATTTATAATTATGCCTGATGCTTTTGTGCCTGAGGATGGGGCTATTGGGCAGTTGTGGAGCAAGTCTTCTAACATGGTCGGTGGTGAAATGAGTGCTCTGTCTGCGTTTCATGGCTTTATCAGGGTTAGATTTTAGAGGAACTCCACTAAGTACGTCTCAAAGCACACTCCTTTGGACATATTCTCATCAAAGATGGTGGATAAGAATTGTGGAGAATGTTCTCACGGTTTCAAGCATAATTTGATAGGTTTGAAATGAGTGGATTAGAGGGTAGGAAAGTTTTAAGAGGTTGAGGAAAAGAAAATACGCTGCAGACATACCAGGTCATGCCAGAACCTGCAAGCCGAACCTTCTCCCAGGTACATATATGGCCTGCATGGTTGAGCAATTTCTGAGAATTTTACAATAGTAATTCTGAGATGATAGAACTAAGTTTAGGGGAATCCAAAGTATCAGTCACCATTAAATTCTATCTTGCAGTCTTTCAACCTTTTATCTGAAGATGTCAGATGATGTCTTTTTTTTGAAGCTGCAAAAGCAAATACAGAAGGATTTAGCACTCTGTTTAAAGTTGAGCTATGATTCAGTGCAGAACAAATAATAATTGCTATCATTTGTTTCACATGTACTGTGTACCAACTACTGTTCTAAAATAGTATGCACATTTAATCTTTATAACGAACAATGGTTATATTATTATACCCATTTCACAGATGAGGAAACTGAGGCTCAGACAGTATTTGCCTAGAGGTGATAATGACAGAACTGGGAATTAACCCTGGTCTATCTGACTCCAACCCATGCTCTTAATCACAATGCTATACCATCCCCACAATTCCTCTTTTATCTACCTAGGTGATGCTACTGCTATGCTGACTTAACTGTTTTACTGTGTTAAAAGATATAAAAGTTATATTTACAAGGAACAATGTTATTGTTCAATGAATAATCTTCTAAGTAGACCTCTGAGGATTGTAGACAGGAAGCATCTCTGTGTTCTATAAATTAAGGGATACCACAGTCAAAGATCAGGTAGTTTGCATGTGGTCACAGGAATGGGTGAGTCAGTCAATACTAAAGCTTGAATCTGTCCTCCCAGTTCACCTGTGTACCGAGTCCAATGTTGTCAAGTAGAAGAGTTAAACCAACACAGGTGTCTACCTGACCCAGGAAATATTGTTATTGTTATTACTATTACCATTTGAATTTGTATAGAATTATACGGACTTTTAAAAATTGGTTATTGCACATTAAAAGCTTAGCAGGTCACAGCAAAATTCAGAGAGGGTACAT